AAAGAAGAAAAGAAAAGCAAGTAAATGCAGTTCGGGCGAGACAGGGCAGGGCTTGGTAGATAAGACAGACAGGCACTCAGCGCCAAGAGAAAAAGGAACGACAGAACACTACTGGGAGACCAAACATAGCTGCGTACACACACAGTAATGAAGAGAGGAGGGAGAAGCAGACGAGGCAACACAGGTGAACGAACGCAGAGGAGGCGGGGCGGGGAATTGGAAATGGAAAATGGATTGGTTTTAGTCGCGACGTACAACAGTAGTGCAGGTCGAGCTAGCCAGCTAGCTTAGCAGAGCTGGTTCCCAGCTAGGGGCTGATCTGAAGGCGTGGGTGGGTCTGCTCCAGTACGATGTGTGATGGGATAGATGCGACTAGGCTGGCTGAGCTGTGAGAGAATTCCGGTGGCTGAAGAGTGAGGAGACAATTGACGACGGAAAAGTCGAGGAGGTGACTGAGAACGACAGATGCAAATAGGAAAATCGGGCGGGGATAAAAGGGGGATGCCACAAAGGAAGTACGGAAGCAGGGAAAGAGCTACACTACACAGTGGGAAGGCGCAATTGGCAAAAAAAGAAGGAAAGATCGAAACAAGGAAGGAGGTGTGTGAGTAAGAGTATGAGACAACCCAAGACGACACGAAAGGCACTTCCATACCGTGAGCCTGCCGGCGGGCATTGAACGAGGAAACAACGGCAAAAGAACAAAAATGTACAAAAATCAATTGATATGAATTCAGACGAACACGACAAGGTGCATTGTGTGGTCTGCAGATGGCCTCATGGCCCACTGGTGGCCGAGTTGGCCTCCGCAGAGCAAGGAATCAATCGCCTCTTGGTCGGATTGCGACGTACGACCTACGTCAGAAGTGGGTGAAAAGGGAAATAACCGAAACGAACCCACTGACAGGAGGCACGGCTGGGTCCACCGAAAAGAAGGAAGGGATGACGGGACTCTGGTGACAAGCCAGCCCATCCAATTGGGGGAGCCGGAAGCAGTCCCAGCCACTTGCGGAAACTACGACGAACGAGTTGATCCAAGTTGCGCAGAAGTAAGAAGGCCGCCGAGGTAGCTAAATGGGGAGAGAAGCAGTACATATTGCAGAATGCCAGAATTCGGGCGCTTCTGCGATGCATCTTATCCTAGTGCGGCGGACCAGGGTCGCAATATCGCATTTGTCCAAGAACGAACAGAAACTAGTTTTCTACGGCGGCTCGACGGCTGGGCCGCACACGATCGCTCTCGCACGCGAAGTGGCACTGCCTCCCACGGGCTTGGATACGTCGCAAAGTAAAAGAGCGATCCCAGAGCAAGTGTAAGATACCCATACAGCCGGACCACCTAGCCTGACGCGGCCAGCGAAGTAGGCTTTAGCGCTCATTGTGGATTGCAAGTCGTCCAAGCTGGGCCAAGCAGCAGTCTAGCTCGTCGTCGTGCGGCAAAAGGAGCTGGGCACGAACCCTGTCAGGCTGTGGCTAGATGGTGTTTTTGCAGGGGTGGCAGGGATTGTATGCCCAGTACAGCTGAACGAAGAAAGAGCAGGGAAATGTAGAGAAAAAGCAGACCGGTCATAAAAACAGAAAACGTGTTTATCAGACGAGAATATTGGCTTTGGTAACAAGCAACAAGGGTCGTTGATGGCGACGTCGAGACGCTTACGTCTCGCAAGGTAGTAAGAGACAGTTTTACGATATGTACGATGTGCACGGCCGAGGATGAAGCAATCTGACTTGTGTGGGAGCGGGAGTCGACCCCATTATCACATCTCGATCTAGCGTAGCATTATGAAAATGTACTTCGTAGTTGGTCACCACAAGTGCCCCGTTCACGACCGATATCCTCTCTGGGTGCAGATCACGGGGCGACCAGGTGCATGGCAAGATGAATTTGTCTTGTCGCGTCGACACTGACCCCGATCTCAGGATATATGTGCGACATTTTCGCGACATGTATTGATAACAGAAATGGGACGCCTCGTGCTGTTTTTGCGACGGGGCCGATGGGGGGGGAGCTGGAACCAAACACAACATTTCGCAAAAGTTGCGACAGTCGAAATGGTAGGACAAATTAGCACTTTTCGGCATCGCTCTTCCTTGCCTAGCTTGGTACACATGACGAGTTGCGTGTTGCACTGAGAAAATGGAGAATTTACACGCGATGGAATGCGCTATCTCCAAGACGACAAAGCGGACGCCGCGTGAAATAAAGCAAAGTATCAAAAGTCGTGGTGTAGGGCGTACTTCTTGTCGATGGTGCATATCCGGATGGCCAAGAGGCCAAGTGCTTTGACAGGTCCCTTAAGTCCCATATTCTCCGAACACGTTGATGGCGAGAAATGGTCCTCGTTGAGCACCGAAGTGTGCTCTTGAAAAGCGCTTGACATTCAATTTGTGACGGCTTTCCCGGCGTGCAAAAGACTCGGATTGGTGGGCAGGTTCCGCTTGCATGGCGTGTGTATGTCTCTGGATGGGCCGTTCCCGCATGAGCTGAAAAGGTACCACGAACCCGGCCCAAGAAAGCGGAGTTGGGTGGTTGGGGTGGATTAGCATATCGCGCACTATTACAACGTGCTGAGGAGTATGCGCAGAACCAGCAAGGACCAGGACGGTCTGGCGGTGGCGATGGCGTCGACGACGGCGTTGGACGGCCGAGGAGAAAAGGGTCTCGTTAATTTTGGGACGAATTGGAGCTTTGCTACTCAAGGTAATTACCGATCCCCCAACCACTCTCATTCAGATCGCCGCACCGGAGGATCATGGCAAAACCACCGTCTCGGTGCCTAACATCTTTGGGTCGAAATAAACCAGGGCCAGGGCGTACGTGCAAAGAGGAGTTGGCGAAGAAAGGAAAGAGAAAAGGCAATGCTAGTACTTCTAGCTGAAGTACGTTTTGCCTTTGCTTGTTCCCTGTTCGTTTGTCGACAAAAATGTGACGTGATGGGAGCGTTGAGAATAAAAACGAGTCGCCAAACTGCCAGCCACTCTATCCCAGCGCAGCCTGTATCGTCTTCACATGTACGCTACTGCATTGACAACATTCTTCCCATGCGAAGCCCATTTGTCACGTGCCAATAGTGTTCGGTAATTACAAGAGTGACACGCAAGCGTTTTCAATACCGATTGCTGTAGAATGGATGATACGACATGCACAAAAAGCAAGCCTGTCACTCGCCTTGATGTGAATACACATAGAGCGCTTCTCTACTCTGAGCCAGTGGTTGTTTGAATCGCACATGGACGTCATTTTGACAGGGGTAGTCGCAAGGAAACAGTCGAAAGATACATCGGTGACAGGGGTTTCATTGGAGCTTGAGGCTTGGGACGATTCCGCTTTTTGCAGCACAATAATGCCAAGATTGTCGTGTCTTTGTGGTATCTGGTGTTTTGTCGTGAGGCAAATGGCACCAAAGGTTAATGCTGCCAGTCACTGTCGTTGTCTTCCGATATAACAAGCTTTACAACTTGTTAACTTGGATGTTCAGTTTGTTTACAACTATTTTGCCCTTATTGAGCTGTAAACGTTGAGCACAGAATACCTTGTGAACATATTAAGTTAAAAACATGTGATATATCACGTGAATTAGCGGTGGCGACTGTGTCGTAGTCTGTGGCGTTCTTCAGCCTTCTTAACTTTAGTCATCATTTTCGTCGTTTTCATGGTATAGCCTCCTTCAACGCGCAGAAGCACTTCTCAACCTCACGACACATAAAACGCATAGGTCCCCGCCCCCATCATACCCAACTCCCCGCACAAAACTCCACCGAGAACATCACAGACTACAATGGCGAACTTTTTGGCTTCCATTTTCGGCACAGAACAGGACAAGGTAAGCTCCGTTCCCTCATCGCATGACTCTCCTCGCTTCTTTTTTTGCTTCTCTTGCTAACCATGTCTCCCTGAATAGGTCAATTGCTCCTTCTACTACAAGATCGGTGCCTGCCGCCACGGCGACCGGTGCTCTCGCAAACATGTCAAGCCCTCGTACAGCCAGACGATCCTTATGCCCAACCTCTACCAGAACCCAGCCTACGACCCGCAGGCGCGCATGAACGCCTCGCAGCTACAGAACCACTTTGATGCCTTTTACGAGGACATTTGGTGCGAGTTGTGCAAGTACGGCGAGCTCGAGGAGCTCGTCGTCTGCGACAACAACAACGACCACCTCATCGGCAACGTCTACGCGCGCTTTAAGTACGAGGAGAGCGCTGCCACCGCATGCGATGCGCTCAACAGCCGCTGGTACGCCGCACGACCCATCTACTGCGAACTGTCACCCGTCACCGACTTCCGCGAGGCTTGCTGTCGACTCAATTCCGGCGAGGGCTGCGCGCGAGGCGGGTTCTGTAACTTTATTCACCGCAAAAACCCAAGCGAGGAGCTGGACCGGGATCTGTCGCTGTCGACCAAGAAGTGGCTGAAGGAGCGCGGGCGCGATGAGCGCAGTGTGACCCGGTCGCCATCGCCAGAGCCAACACGTCGGCGTTACTAGAAAGTCTGTTTGGGTATAGGCTTTGGACGTGCGTTTTGCCTTTTCTACATCGGTCATGGACAGATATTTGTCTTCATTGGCGTTTCGGTTCAAAAATACTAGGAGCCTGTTTTTCATAGTGTACAGATTTAATATTTTGCCAACGTACTTCAAAGCAATAGACACTGCTATTTGAGTACCAAAAGTTTATGTCTGGCGGGATCCGTGATGAGATTTAACTTTCGAGATTGGCCGCGCTACATTACTACAATGTGTGAACATGCAGCATGGTGGTCTCAACGAAAAGTGAAAAGCAGTAGTGGCGAAAATTACCAGAAAGCATTAATCATTAGTAAAAAGGAAAAGAAAGCAAAGAAAATAAGAACGGGAGAATATTTAGGACGATTCTTCTAGTTATTCCCGTTTCCATCCTTTCCCAACCTACCCAGAGGAGGACGTTTCCGTATCATGTATGTTTGCACCGCTGCTAATGTTTCTAAATATAAACTCCCTTCTCATGGACTAAACCTTCGTCTAGTTTTCGGCATCATGGAATATGTCTTGCGACCCGCTCGTGTCAGAACGCTTAATTGTAGGTAGGCGCTTGTCCAGGTCTTTGTTGAAGTCCATGAGCGGGCCTGCGGGCGCCGGCTTGCCCGTCGAAGACAGCAAGTCTGAGATCTTGTCGGCACCATCGCTGGCCAGTGGCGCCGCAGAAGGCTTGGAAGATTCGCCATCACCGACATCAATCAGGTCGCCGCTCTTTACTGCAAGGGCTGAGGCAGCACCGGCAGCACCGGCAGCACCAGCAGCACCAGCGGCACCAGCAGCACCGGAAGCACCAGCAGCGGCGGTATTACTGGCGGTCGCGCCAGGAGACTTTTCGAGAGACTTGTGAGCAGGGATGATGGGAATTTTGCTTTCGCGCTTCGACGTCTGGCCGGGAAGCACGGGGTATATGGCAAGGATTTGGTCCGCCTGGGCTTGCGGCGTTTCGCCGTCACTGCAAATAGTTAGCTGCCAGTTCGGCGATATTGAAAGACAAATGTGCACATGCGAACGAACGGGGTCACTATACATTTGCGCATTGATGATCCATTCCAGATCTTCCTCGCCTTCCTCGGAGCCACCGGGGCCGCCGTTGACCCGCCGGAAGAGGCGCGGGGTCCACTCCACGCCGTCTTGGGTCCGAGCAGCAGCCTCCTCACGCTGCATATCCTCGACTTTGGTTTTCTCATCTGTTGCGAGCTCGTGGTTGCGCTCTTTCACGGCACAGGCCGTCCGTTGCCACAGCCGCTGCGACTCTCTGGCCTCTTGTTCTTCGATGGGACGGACCGAGGGCGGTGAAGGCTTGGACTTCAGCGCGTTGAAAAACATGTCTTTGTGGCCAGTCTTGACGTTCTTAATCGTCATCTCCTCGCTCCAGAGCCCGGAAAGCTCGTACAGGACTTCGCCGGTGTTTTCGTTCTTGACCGTGCCACCAATAGCATTGTACGTGCCGCCAACCCAACCTTTGGTCTTAAACTCAATGTCGGCGGTCAGGCCGAGGTCTGGGCAGCGGACGAAGCTGTGATCGCCAAGCTCGTACTTCATCTTGCCGAAAAGAATGCCCCGGGCATACATGTTGGGCTGTGTCAGGATGCTGCAGGTGGAAGGTCAGTTACCATCCATAGAAAAAATAAAGACCAAAAAAGCGTACTGCAGACTGTAGACATACTATCTCTCCGGCTTGCCATCCTTGCCGCGGTTCAGAAGGCTCAAGATCGCGGTACCCTCCATCAGACTGGCGGCCGAGTTACCCAGGAAGCGACTGCGCGGTTTGAGCGTGCCATCGACGCGAATGTTGTATTCCGGGACCATGTAGAAGTAGCTCGACTTAGGAGGGTGGTGAGAGGTCTGCTCAGAGATATAATAGGCGCGCGTGTTGTCGGGGAAGTCCCAGTAGCAAGAGAAGATTTCACCCAAAATAGGGTTGAGAGGCTTCTTTACGCCTCTGCCAACAAAAACACGTTGAATTAGTTTTGAAGAACATGGCAATGCAAACGCATATACGGATAGATGGGGCATTACGTACGGAGGACGGATGTGCCAGCCACTCAGGTAGAACTTGACGACGGATACGAAGCGCTCGGTTGGGTCCTCAATATTGGGGATGGGTAGGAGCATCTCAGGGTGGCACATGAAGCTGGACACAACGTCAGCGGGACTCTTTCTGTCTCTCACATGGCACGATATGAAGCTCTCTCAACATACTTTGTTATCCTTTCCAGCATGCTGCGTGGCTCCAGAATGAAGGTTGGGAGGACGACTCGGCTCAAGTCGGCGCCAGGACGCAGCTGGGAGATAATGTGCATGAGGACTAGGTGTGAGGTTTAGCTGAGTCCAAGGAAAGACAGTATGGGTGCTAAGGGCGACCTGGGTATTGTCGTAGAACGTCTCTTACCGTTGCCCTGATCGGGCTCGACAACGAGGGTATCATCGTCGCCTTGTCCGTTGTTTTCGTCAGACGACCTGTTGGAGTGGGCACCTAAACGAGGAGGAAAAAACGACAGAGCTTCTGTTAGCTACCTGAACTTTGATGATGATGGCCACGAGTTCCGGAGACTCCGGAGCCTCCGAGTCGGCGTCCACCAAGCTTCCATGAGCGGGGATAAACACTTGTTCCGTCTGTTGCCCAGAGGCAAGAAGCACAAACTTGGAATGGAGCTTGATACATACTTGCGCTTGACGTCGCCCTGCGGCGAGAGCCAGATACCAAATTGAGCATTTTGGAGAGATCTGGAGCACTCTATCTAAAGCACCCTTTCCAACGGTGGGCTTTTGACGACGCAGTCGAGAGCTGTTGACAGTAAAGAGCGTGCTCTACACTAAGGCGGGAGTGAGGCGGAGGAGAGCGAAATTGGGAGAAACGAGCCGATGATGATACTCGAATTGGAGGATGAAGGCGACGCAAATGGAGAGAGGCGAAGATGAATTGCTGAAAGAAGTCTGCAAAGGAGCAAAAGATACAAAGCAAACCAAAGACGCAGAAGGACGGAATAGAGAAGCGGTAGAAGCGTTAGGAGCGTTGGGAGTGCCAAGGCAGAAGGGAAACAGAGCATCTAGTCAGCAAAGAACGCTGGGGTAGTGGGAAAAGGCGATGACGGAGGAATGTGAATCGCAAAAGATCCACGCTCCACGCTGCATAGACCAGCTATGACGGACGGAACGCACAGCCCAAGCACGTTTTTTTCTTCTTTCGTCTCTCCCGCAGTTGCCTGGCGGGGCCCCTCACGGTGGTTCTTTCCCACTCTGCGGTGTTACGGAGACCGTTAGACTACCGATTGCCTTACGTTTGCCGCGATTCCCACGTCCTGGGAGCCTTACCTCTGACTCGTTGGGAAGCAGCGACTTGCTAGCTATGGTCGCGGTGGGCGAATGAGCGAACCCGAGACAGGGTGGGACAGGAGGGGAAGGAACGAAGGGAGTGCTTCTTGCTCTCAGCTGCGGGGCAATGAATGACGTTGCGGATGGTCAAAGTCTTGGTCGGTCAAAGTCTTCGTCTTTGGTCGCTAACAGACCTCCAGGATCGGAGAATCACAGCGACCGTGCACCGCACGCCAATAAGCGCCGCCAGATGAACGAGCTCCAGGCCTCGCTACAAGTTCCCGTCCAAGGTCCAGGCCGGCGCGGTTTCAGGCGCATTTCGGCTAGGCCAAGAGCACGTTGAAAGAGATAGGAGCTTACTGAGTTGTCTGGTCGTAGTTGCCAAAACGGTGCCTAATAATATTTGAGAAAGGTTTCTTGGCCTTTATCTCCAAAGTTACGACCTCTCTGTGGCAGAGGGGTAAGAGCAACTGACGACAATGTATTGCTGACGAGGAGGCCGCTGTTTGTGGTGTATCTGATAGAAACGTGCAGCAATAGGTACAGTAATAAGACCAGTTAAGTCGTGCCGACAGTCCCAAATCCGGCCATTGTGACAGGATATGGTCCTTCTGCGCTGCGCCACACGACTTGTTGGGGTCGGTATCCAGAAGCTACAGGGTGAGGCAGCATGCAGCAGCAGCCTCACGCAGAGCTGGTCTGAAGCACGTTTTATTTTACTTTTGGAGTACGATACACATTTCGATCCACTCAGAGTATCTCACCTCCCTCTTGGGATTCTCTTATTCCTTGGCAACCCTGACACGGCCGTCTGGGATGTCTGCCACTGACGACGACACGCGGAAATCACCTTTTTTGCCAGTGAAGACAATAAGGAACTTGCCAGGGGGTGGCGAGGGCGGCCTCTTACTTGCAGATCCAACACCACAGCCTTGCTAGAATTCTTGACGATTTACATCTGCTAAAATGCTACACTTGAAGTCGGTAGTGTGACCAAGTCAGGATGTCGAAGGCGAGCAACAATGAGCTCAATTGTCTCATAGAACATGGTACACGACACACGACACGCAAGACATAGGATGTGCAGCTTCTTGAGCCTGGCTGACAAGAATCAATCGCTTTGGGACAGCCGCCGCATGTCTGTAATAGGTGCGGTCTGTAGAAAGAAGCAGGGTAACAAAATGTGGATGCCTGGCACTATGCCAGATAAAGAATCTGCCCTCTGTCGTTCTCGCGCAGGGCCTGTGGGAAGAAGGTCAGCTACGTCGCATGGGAAACTGACAGAATATGCATCATTTGGGGAGGTATCTTATCAGCTGATGGATCACATCGGGCATTCTACGCGAAACATGGCGATGTTCTGGGACACAGGCAATTACACACAACAATTAAGGAACTTTGTAATACATTATCCAATTACATGGCCATACACTGGATTCATTAGAAACTGCAAGTCGAAGACTGGGAACCTTACAGAGACTTGTGTATGTGCGGGAACAAAACTGAACCACCGAGCCACTGTTGCTTTCCATCGAGTCAAGAGTCAGGCACAGCTTCGTACATCAAGGTGGATCGTCCCGTCTTTCGCCTCCCAGCCTTCCTTATGATCTGTGCGACGAAACAGCGGGGATACAAAGGGTCCCCTCCCAGACGCGGCTGTCAGTCCTTGCAGCGCCCCGTTTCTCCTTTACGTCTCTTCTTTATCATCTTCGTCTGTCGGCTTTTTATGCTACACCCGTCGAGCCGTCACCTTTCCTCCACCATGCTTTGTTTCCTGGCTAGCAGCCTCGTTTCACTACATGCTGTTCAAGAGGGCATCTTTGCAGGACCAAAACCGGTTGGAAACGACCTGGCGACAGGCACTGAGCAACGCTAGCGGGCGGCTAAATCGAGAGACAAGGACGAGCCTGGACTCCTTCTGGCTGGGATTGTGAACTAGCTGACTGGGTTCTCTCAAAATAACGTCCACTGCCCAATATTTACATCCAAGGGATATAACGACCTGCACGACTAAACAGGGCACAAACAGGGCACAAACAGGGCAGTCACTGCCCAACTGGAACGTAAATGAGAATGCGAGCGGTACATTGCGAGGCCACCTGCGAGGTACGACATTGTAACTGCGACAATCATCCATATCGGATATCTGTCGTAGTTCCAAATATTGATATACAGCCAGATAAGACGGCAACCACAACCTCCAACTACAAAGTGTCTTTGCAAAGGGGGCTCTTTGACATAGGCCCAAACGGCACTGCTTCACCTTTCGGCGTGTTCCCCCTAATGTCGCTCCACGAATCCCCAAGTCCGTTTGCTTGCCACTAGCAACCCCAGCTTCGTTGTTGCGGCTCGCCGTCTTGGCATGTCCACAGCTTTCGTGTTCGACCCTGAATCCGTCTCTTGTTGCTCCCCTTTTCGCTATCGAATGGCGCTTGCGGTATCTGTGTTGTCAGTGGAGAGGACATTTCGTTTGTTGTCGTATTTATCACCTCGCTAACTGTCACCTTTGGACGGGAGGTATCTAAACGGCTTCCGGTTCGGTGACCTGGGTAGATTAACGTGCTGGATGGGGCTCGTTGAATTGAACAAGAAACCAGATATGGCCATCTGGAGGGCTCGGACGTCGTACGGAGTGAACTCCTTGCATCCTATTTTAAAAGGTATGACAGGCCTTTTCTCTGTTCCCTAGGGACGGACTTCCGTACATCGTTCTTGCTTCCCTTTCCTGGCACCGCCCAAAGTGGCAACATTCCTCTATAATGATATGTCGCTCCTGCTAGGTATTCCGCTTTTCTGTTGCATCGTAGCTTCCGCACCAGTCCTCTAGGGCATGGCTATTTTAATCTTCAGCCCGTATGAGTGCACATGGTCGCGTCCTTCCCCCTCATCTCTTCCTGCATTCGGATGTCCTTTTGGCGAAAAAAAAAATCCTTCCTTGGGCATTCCACATCCACATTTGGATCTCACGACATGCTTTCCATGCTTTTATGTGCTGGCCTCACCAGTCGGAGGCCAGATAGATAACGGTCGGTATCTTGCAGCGTAAGTTACTTTGTCGCTGCCCTCAAACGGCTCCATAAAACGTCTGGAAGAGCGACAGGACGACAGGCCTGCGACATATCTTATCCTCATTAGAGGGAAATAATAGTGGAGAGCGGAGTAAAGGAGGGGTGACCTGTTCCTGCCTCCCACCCCACCCTCGTTCCTTGTAAGCATCGCCCATCGCAGTTTCCCTCTTTTGGCTGTCTTGTCCTGAAACAAACCAGGAGGGCAACAGGAGCAGGGAAAGGACAGCCCAGGAGGGCGATCGAGTGACAGAAAGAGCAAGTACGACGTACACAGTGGGACCACACGAGAAAGAGCCACCCGATCAAAACATATTCACAGGTCTACTGCCCACAACACAGTTAACCCAACTCACACCACTCCATACTCCTCAGCAACGCACGACTAGACATTGAACCGCAATCTCGACGAACCCTTACCGCCTCCCCACCCGACTTGGTCGGGCACCTTTCTTTGTCTTCGTTCACCGTATCTCCCGCCCTCCCCCGCACACACTCCCGCGCCGAGAGCACGCGGACCTTTGCTCAATCCAGCATCTTTCTCGGAATTGGCCCAGAAAGACGACGGTGGCAGCCAGCAGATTCTGGACGACGACAACAATCCCGCAGGACCCTCGCATTGTCGGCACTGCCCTTGTCGACCGTGGCCGGACTCGAGCACCGTCTCACGACCTCTGCCCCAACGACCCTGGGCAGTGACTTCTTGTTGCTGCTGTGGCTCTCGGCACAGGCCTCCGCAATCTTGTGAAGTTACTCGGCGTCTATGCTCGAGAGAATAAGAAGCAGAGGACATTGGCTCTTCTTTTTTTCCCTTGCACGGCCTCGTCCTTGACCGGGTTGACCGCTCTAGCGCACCTCCGGCCGCCTTTCCTTCTTCCTCTCTTGACGGCCATTCTCATGCAAGCTCAGAAAGTCAACATCTAAATGACAAAGGCGGGGTTCTTTTGCAGTCACAACTACAAACCCCCTTACCCTTACAATCTCGATAACGCCCGCCAGATTTTCCTTCTTTCCCTTCTTTCCCCGTTCGGCAGCAACCTGCTATGGACCGAGACCATGGCCACGCCGCGGCGCATGGTATAGACGACCCGCGGTCACGCAAGGGCCGCCTAATGGGCAAGCTCTTTGGCGGCCGCGACCGCAAAACGTCCAACGAGCTGCGTGATAGTGGCGGCGACGACGAGATCAATGCCTTTCTGCACGGGCCGTCCAGCGCGGCTCCGAGCGCATCCTCTCCGCGCTCATCTACCACAACGAGGCCTTCATTTGACGGCTTCCAAGTGGCACATTCGGCGCCGCCCCAGCTGACCAAATTAGACACACGAGCCATATCGCGCTATCCTAATGCCGTCCCCGTTACAGGTGCATCTCACAGCCCGATATCTTCCAGCCACTACACATCGAAGCAGAGACGCCCCGGCGTTAAGGGCCTGGCGGTTCGGTTTGTCGATACCTACCCGGAGATTATTGGCGAGGGTGGTGATGAGTCCGACATACCACCATCGGAAATTGGCAGGTGGCGACGGACAAATAGTGTCCGGCAAGCGCGTCCGCAAGTCGCTCCGTTGCCGAATTCCGACACCTCTGTACCAATGTCTGTCGCATCTTCTCGTTCCCTGCCTTTGCGATCACCTCTACCGCCAATCCCACCCCAAAATGCACCTCCACAACAACAGCAACGACCTTTTGACAGCGACAACTTCGTACCATCTCCCATTCGTAGGACCCAGACTGGCTACTCTTCAATCTCTGAGCCGTCGCCGCGGGAGGACCACCGAAGCGTTTCACCGGAACGAAAACCGCAGGCCGTGCCGGAAAAGTTACCCGCCAGGCAATTAGCAGTTGATCCGTTCCTTGGTGATCCGTCATTAGGCCGGGATGAGAAACGCCGGTCGTTTATCGAGATTCACCAAGCAGAAATGCGTGAGGCTGAGGGTCGAGCTCTGCTCCAAAATTCACGAGATGGCGTCAGCCCGCCGTCAAGCCCCGAAGTCGATCAAAAGAAGCCGGTATCGCCCATCAGGTACTCGCCCACAAAGATGACACCACCGCCCTCTTTGCCGCCTCCGCGGAACCCCCGACAAGGCATTACGCAGCCGGCTCTCGCGCCCCAAAACACAGAGGCTTCCCCTATTCTACCACCACCCTCAACGGCGTCCACCCCCGACGGCAGTTCCTTCGCCTCTCGCGCCAGGCAAGCTGCGCAGGAGTACAGTCCCCCGTCGATGGCCTCTCCAACTTCTGTCGTGCATCGGGCTTATGGTTCCTTCCGCCAAAATGCCAACAGCCGACTATCGAACAGGGAGCACGACGACGACTCTGCATCGGTCTACTCTGCGACGTCTGGTGGCTCTACAACCTCGCCTCGACCACCAATGGCCGATCTTCACGACGTCGTTCAGGCTGCTGGAGATGACGCTATTAATACGTTTATTGCCCGGTCTCGCCACTTGTTCGAGTTGTTCCGCTTGCAATCTGAGACAATACACCCTCTTTCATCCAGTTCCGCTGAGGACCTGGCCCGCGCCGCCTTGTGGTGGTTTATCATTGGCAGAATGGGTCTCGAGAATGCGTTTCGGGAGCGGTCAGCCCAAGGTCCCGGTGCCGACTCGCCAGTATCGCCGGCCAACGAAGCTGCTATGCAGCAGGCCTTCGCTGACTTGGCCAAGTCATACTGGCTAGCTGGCGAGATTTTGCTCGATGTGCCTTCGCCTGCTGGTGGTGAGCCTGAACAGGTCCGTACGACTCTGCTGTACAACCTGCGCAAGCTTGCCGTTTCCATGAAACGCAACAATATTTTGCCGCCTGAGGACGCCTTCCTTCCAGCAATCATCGATAAGACAATCTGGGCGACATACCCCCCTGTCAGTTCCGATATTATCGCTCTCTTGCAGGGCAACTGGACGTCCAGTCTGGCTGCGTCGCCCGTCTCTGGTCCTCGGATGGCAATGCTCGAGTCACTGCCCATTGCGGACACCGCTGATGACTTCATTTTCAGCCGGATGTGGGCAGACGTGTATCTGATGGAGAAAGACCGAGAGTCGTCGCCGCACCCGTCGAGCAAATTTCATTTTCCTTGTATGCTGAGCGTGGCTCGCCCTCAGAGTTCTGCAATGCTGGAGATTGTGGTCTCCAGCCAAAATGAGAATGTACAGTTACGTGTTCAAGGTCGAAAAAATCCAGGGCCTAACTGGGAAGACGTGCGTTGGCGGTCCGATCTTTATTCGCTTGAGGTCCGGCTACCGCGCGGCTTCATTCTTGCCATCCAACTGTCCAAGCAGGACTATGGTCTTTTGTGGAGCATGTATGATTTTGGCTCCAAGATCCATAGTCAGCTCTACCCACGCAGTGGCGAGAACCCAATCTTCCGCTCAACGCTCAAGGCGTTCCAGTACTTTGAATCCGCTGCGCCAACCGGCAGTTTCCCCAAGGAGGCTGTACCTGACTGTGATGTGGCTCTGTTCTCAAAGACGCTACAAGAGAACGCGGCAACGGGGCGGCGCTACTACCACCGAGGATTCCGCGTTGCTGTCGTGTCTGGTACGCGCACCCGGACGTTGTACGGCGTATCTCATTCCTATCTTCCGGACGTGCCAGTGCAGTTTAGCTTCTTACGTGGCGACCAGGGCGACCCGGCGTTGCTGCTACGCTTCGAAAATAACCGCACAAAGGGCAGCATGGTCCTTACCTTCGGCCATACTGACGAGCGCGCCGAGTTTCATAGCCTCTTGACTGGTACAGCCTTGCAGCCCGATGAACAAGTTACCGCCGATGTTCCTTTCTCATCACTAGACATGCGCGTTGCATCAAAGGGTGGTGCGGGTGCCGGCGCCAGTAGCAACAAGGCTCTCGCAGCTTTCAAACAGCTGGCGTTCAAGCGCCTGCGGGTAATCAACGTCGATGACGGTCTCGATGGAACGAAACCACCAACCGTCCTTGCCGAGCACCTGCGGATGGTTTTTGAATTTGGCGACTGCACCGTGGTCGACCGCATTAATGCAGCCCCAGGCGAACTCAAGATCCGCCTCGATGTACAGGACAACACATCTCTGGTCCTCGTGCGCCAGGCGCAGCAGGACTTTACCGTAGCGGTGTCAGACGTGCAGGTGCCGAGGGAAATTGGCCGCGGCCTGGCCGATGGCCTGCGCGTCGCCAAGTCCTATCCGACGTGCCGAGCGTTGCGTTTCTCGACGCTCACGGACCTGCACGTTGTCCAACAAGCCATCACGGGCTACAAGGTTCTGTTTGATGGTGTGGCCACGACATTTGGCATTGCACGGCGCCGCATGGTTGTACCCATCCACAAAAAGTGGGAAGCAGGACACACGCGTATTCAAGTGGTCGCGAACCCAGACACCAAGGTCGTCCAGCTTCTAGCGTTCTTCCAGGACTTCCACTACGGCCACTGCATGAGTTTTGTTCTGAAGGGAACCGACGTGTTCGAGGCCTTCGGCCGGGGCAGCAAGGCTGGAATAAAGTTTGACGACGCCAAGTTCCCGCTTCCGCGCGTTCCAATCGGCGACTCGAGCAATGGAGGCGGCGGTTCGGACAGCGGAGCTAGCGGTGGCGGTGGCGGCAATGCTGATGACCGAGTCATGAGCCACAGTGAGACTGCGTTTGTGTGTCTCGACATGCCCGACCTACCTGGCGAGCACGACGACATCTCCATCTTGTTCGACAAGGAAACAGGTCAGTAATACTGTTCTCTCCTCTTCCCTCGTTGTCTTAGGTTTCTTAAGAAATCTGCTTGTCATGGTGCTAACTTTTGTCTTTAGAGCGCGATCGGTTTGCTGCATGTTTGCCCGCGCCAGTGCGAGGCTCGCGCCTAGCCAAGATGTTTTAAGGATGTGCAAAACGTACAAGACATAGCAGAAGTTAAAAAATCCGACCGTCGAAATTCGAACGGCGCAACCATATTTATTACACGACACAGTATAGCGGCTTATCCAAGTAGCGTTGTCAAGACGAAGCATTGCATTACATCGGAAGCGGACGTTTCCGTTTTGTCCCTCATTATTATCTTCGCCTTGTTATTTTCTATTGTGCAGTTTGGTTGTTTGGTCTTTTTTGGAAGCACAAAGTTTGTTTGCATTTGTCCGGCATAGATACCCGGCGAGTCAAGTGAAAGAAGCATGGCTTGAGTCAGGAGAGAGCTTTGATGTGGTCATATGACGTTGGATGGAAGCAGATACGCTGGGGGCGACGAGATGCAGAGCTGCAAACCCGCCCATTGCATATTTTGAACGTCTTGCCGCACGTATAAAGTCAGATACAATGATAGTAAATTAGGTTGAACCAAAACGACAAGTCGACATAGGTAGCAATCGTCCACGTCTGTCTCTCTGCGTATCAAGGAAAAAGAGGCAGCCCCGTCTTACAAACGATTTACGTAACATAGACACATGCACACCAAGCAAGATCAAGACGAGCAAAGTGAGAGATGGGAAATATAAGGTTTAGAATGGGGCAAGCTTTAAGGAAAGGATATATCTCGGAAAGACGATAGTGTAGCAAAAGAAATCATCGGGACCAGGAGAAGAAGAGCGATTGTCGTGGGCGCCGCATCTCAGTTGTCGTTGGGTGAGCTGCTCCTGGAAGAACCCGGATTTGCCCCGTTGTGTCCCGGAAACCGGGAGATTGATAAGAAAAGAAGAAAGGAGGAAACAACACAAAAAAAACATGACCACACTCCTCTCCCGCAGGTACTGGCGAACGGTGTCAACTGGAACATTGACACACCCAACGTTTTCCCCTACATTCCTCGCCTCTTCTGCATTGCGTCCCTCCCCTTTTTCGTCCACAAGCAAGAAGCTGGCGGCAAAGGCAGGTATTGCCGAAATGTAGGAGAGCTACTCTCTGGTGTACAGAGACCATATGGCGGGGTAAAAAACAATAAAATAAACCATATTGGTAAACAAAGACGCGCGCGAGAAAGGACAAGACAGAAGCGAAGAAACCACACAGAAACAAGAACAAGGGGAGGTGTAAGAAAGAGAGAACAAAGGACAAGCTGAAACAAGCCCAACTGGCAGGCATTCGGCAGAGTACCAATCACGAACGCAGTCCCTTCCTAATCGAGATCCGGCCCAGCCGTCTTCGTTGTAGCGCTTGTCTTGTGTTCAAGAATTCTTTCTTTTATTCAGATACGGGATTAGGATTTTAAAGCAGGTCGAGAGGGGGGCGAAAGTATGCTTTACGAAGCAGCCTCCGGCTCGGGCTCGGCAGCCTTGGGTTCAGACTCCTCCGTCTCGGCAGCGGGAGCCTTCTCCTCCTCCTTAGCGGCTTCGGCAGGAGTGGTCTCGGCGTCGACGGCATCCGACGACGTCCACAGGGTCAGGTTGTCGCGCAGGAGCTGCATGATCAGGGTGCTATCTCTGTATGACTCCTCCGAGAGCGAGTCGAGCTCGGCAATGGCGTCATCGAAGGCCTGCTTGGCCAGGTGGCACGCACGGTCGGGCGAGTTCAGAATCTCGTAGTAGAACACCGAGAAGTTCAGGGCCAGGCCGAGGCGGATGGGGTGCGTCGGGGTCAGCTCGGTCTGGGCAACGTCGGTAGCGCTCTTGTATGCCTCGTGGGCAGCCGTCGCGGCACCGCGGCGCTTGTCGCCAGAGGCGAACTCTGCCAGGTAGCGGTGGTAGTCACCCTTCCTGCCCAGCAGTTAGTAAGAGGGCGGTCGGTCACTCCCAGGGGTATGGGGTATCGCAAAAAAAAAATAATTTTTAAAGGCAGATTCTGCGACGCACATCTTGTGGTAGAAAACCTTGGATTCGCCACTGGCAGCGTTGGGGATCAGGCTCTCGTCGAGAACATCCAGGACATCCTGGCAGACCTTCTCCAGCTCGGCCTCGATCTTGTCACGGTACTCGCGGATGGTGCCAACGTGCTTCTCGGAGCCCTTAGATTCCTCCTTCTGTTCGATGGACGAGATGATGCGCCAGCTGGCACGGCGGGTGCCGACAACGTTCTTGTAAGCCACGCTGAGAAGGTTACGCTCATCGACAGTCAGCTCACCGCCCAGCTTGGCAACCTCCTTCATGTAGGTAACCATCTCATCGTAACGCTCAGCCTGCTCGCATAGGCGAGCCAGGAAGGTCTTGCTGTAAAAAAAAAAGCGTAAAGTCAGCATCTGTGTCTTGAGCACGATCAGGCGCAGAATCTCCCGTCCTCTCCGTTCACTTCTCGCCCTGTCCCCTTGCTTCCCCTCCCTAAGGCGCACGGCGGTGCACAGTGGCAGCCATGGGAGGGGCTGAGGCCGGAAATGTTTCGTTCTCGATATTCCAGTACGGAGTAACAAACAAACGAATGTGTGATTAGAAGGCAGGGGTGTAGGAACATACTTGTCGCGCTAGTAAAGAGAGATAATAATGTTAGCAGACAGCTTTTCAAACGCGGGCGGCTGCCGGACCAAGGCCAGACCACAGCCAACTAAGCACCGACGCTGGAGATGGGAGACATCGGCATGGCGAGCCTGAACCTCTACGGCATCACCTTCGACGCGGAGATGTCTGCCAAAAAAGATAACAATCGTTGCCTAGGCGGAGCCTAGGCGGACGCGTGGGGGGGATTTGGCAGGCGATGTGGCCAGTCATAAAAACGGTTTACATGAGGCCGTGCCGGTGCAAGACAGGCCGATCGATGCAAGACAAGGCCGGGGAGGGCCCGGGGGTCGAAAGGGGGGGAATAGGGAGAGGGAGCATGCCCTTACCTCGCTTGCCATTGTTTCGTCTTATCTGGAACAGAGGAGTCTGCTGGGGGAAAAGGGCGTTGTTGGATACGGCGAGGACAGTTGTGTCGAAGTGAAAAGGGGAGTATACGGATGCAAGTCGGCGGCGGCAGAAGAAAAGATGTTGTGGTGGGGGAGATCGAAGTGGACGGAGTTGGGTACGTTGTGATGAGGATTGTGTTGTGTGAGATGAAGTCCTTTTTGGGGGAGGGGGGTTGTTGTACAGCAAATGGTGTGTATTTTTCGTTGTCAATTTAATATTATTATTTTCTACTTTCTACCAACTTGCGAGGGGGAAGGAGACGTGTGCATGGGGCGGTTCCTGCTGCGCTGGCGGAGAAACTGCAGGAGCGACGCAAAGAAAGGAAAGGAGGGGGGAGATGAGATAGGGAGAGCCAGTGCAAAAGGGAGGGGCGAGCGAAGACTGGTCGAGCGAAGACTGGCCAACGAGCGAAGAGGGAAGGTTCGAGGTACGGGAGATGGTCAGCCAGCAGGGAAGTCGCGGCCTCCTGGTGGAAATGCCGCTAATAGGCTTCCTTCCGCGGTGCGACCTGTGTCCTGGCAGAGAGGCCGTGTGCGAGCAGTGTCGAGCACAAAAGTACCTGGACTGGGTCCTGGCTAGGCTCTGAGGACCAACGAGAGACAGTGGGCACACTCAGGAGAAGGAGGAAGATGGGCCTGAGCGCCTTTGGTTGTTTTAGGCTTAGCACATATTACGACGTATTTGGGACAGGAAGGACGAGACTGCGGGAAGGAACGAAAATTGAGAGCGAGAGGCCAACCAGGACAAGTGGGGTCACCAAACGGTGAGGAAGCAGCAAAGTAGGGCAAGAGCCGGGCGCATCTATGCCGTCCAGAACACACAAGTCCATAGCCGTTACCGCATTTGCCTGTCACGCTCGGAAACGTTGTGCAAGAGGCAGTGTCTGTGAAAGCGGGCGGGGCAGTTGACAGCTGTGCGGGAAAGAGCGTTGGAGACGAAACGAAAACAACGGAGAGGTGGGAAACAAGGCAGCGCCAAGCAACAGAACAGACGTGAAACAGTTGAAACAAATGCAAACAGTCAGAGGCGCAAGTCTCGCCCGCGTGCTTTTCCATATCAAACGCACGACACGTCAACAATGTCAACCTCTTAACAATGAAGGCGGTTGACTGAAGCGTTGTTCCTGCCCTATTCTCCCAGACTTGTACTGGATCGCACCTGCCTGTGTCGACTCGTGATGGTGGCTCATTGCGCCAAACACGCGACCTCGGCCAGGGTGCGCCCCAGCCTTGTTCCCTTATCCAAAAGACTTTCTTTGGCGAACATCGCAGTTCTGTCTTGTTTGCCAGCTCCTGATTCGCATCGCATTTTCGGCAGCTGTTGTCTGTGGTGAGATACGTCGGCGAGATACGTTTTCGCTGGTGATACGCCAGTCCATGCTTGTTAAAACTGACGAACTTGCAAAGAGCGTTGCGTCTATTCTGCAGACTTTCCAACAACTTTGCAACAACCAACGATACTACAATACAGCACAGCCACCTTTACCAGAAAGCAGGGCCCAGGCTGAAGGCAGATGCGGCGACGGCGTGTCTCTCAACGCACAACACACCCGCTTTGGGCCGGCTTTCTCCTTTTCAGGCTCAGATGTGGGTATGATGGGGCTTGTCACGAGGGCATGTCATCACCGCCAGCTTGGCCGCTGGCCACTTATAGCCAATTCCTTTTATTTTCGTCTCATTTTTCCTTTTCTTTTCTTTTTCGTCACACTCCCACCCCATAATGTACGGTTCACAGCGGCAGCCTGCATGCCACGTTTCTCTCAGGCCATTCAGACCATGCAGATTGGTTCAAAGCGTGTTGATACAATGTTGACGGCAAAAGCGGGAAATGATGTGTTTGCTTGGCTACCACAGAACAGGAGCCTACCATCCAATCAGTCAAAACTCACCAAACGAACCAAAAAAGTGGCTGTCATTCGCTCATAAAGAACAAACGCAACGCTGTAAACAGGTGACAAGGCAGAACCAAACACAAACGCTACGGCGGGGCGCGAAGTAAACAAAGAAAGAAAACATCCAGTACCACCATGACCAACCATGAAAAGGATGTCAATCTTGTTTTGCTTGGGCTGGTTCCCGTGTTGTCCTGCCTTCAGGCCAGCGGCGCTGACGTTGTCTTCGTCCTGCACGGGTGGATTCTGACATCAAAGAAACGGAAGCGCGCTCTACGTCATTCACCTACCACGTCAATGTTCGAACTTATCAACAAACGTAATCGTGACACATGTTTGGCTATCCTACATACTTTTGGTCCTTGCAATTTCAGCTACCTTGGTGTATGAGGGACAAAAAAAACAGTAAGCAGTAGAGCACTAGATATACGGCGCAGAAAGGAAAGACTCGAAACCGATGACGCTGGGAATACATGCTTGGTATGAAGAGACGCCTTCAAATAGACTCAAAGTAAACACAAACGAACTGGAAATCACGTGTGCCGAACCAAACATTCATTTGTTCACAGCGCGTCGTTGGTATAGTTGTACCGCTCGCGGCCCCAGTCCGCGGGATCGCCGCCAGGAAGACATAGACCCAGGCGCCAGAAGTAATCGCGGTGTGCAAAGAAGAGCTCCCATAGCTTCAGATTGGGCGGGATAATACCTTTGCGCGTCGAAGGGGATGTCTCTTCGCCAGAGCCGTCATGCTCGCCGTCCACGTCACTGCATGCCGGGTCACTCCGGCCCCGGCACTGTATGACGTCCTCTGGTGTTGGTGACAAGCTCACCTTTGCGATAAAAATCTCGCCTGCATGAGAACGATAGCCCCAGTCGGACAACGGCAGTAGCGGGACGGGGTCATTCTTGTGCGTGACACGGCGGTACGCGTCCGCCACAGTCGGTTCTTTCGGTTCTTTTGTCGCCGTGTTCGAGCGCAGGTTAAACACGCCTTCAAGGAACTTCGCGAACCCGAGGTTGCCTACGCGCGGCTCGCCAAAGGTCGTGACCTGAACATCCTCCCAGCCAAGGACAGCCTTCATCTCCAGCGCCGCAAGAGCGGCTACGGCGCCTCCCAGAGAGTGGCCAATGAGATGGACACGGTAGGGAGCAGCTGGGGCAGCGAGCGGCGACGACGAGTTCATCGACTGGCGCCGGGCTTCGGCGACAATCGGCAGAATGAGACTGCGCGCGCTCTCCCAGGAGCCCAGGAAACCCATGTGGACGGTGCAGTTCGTGCACTTGGCTCGCCTGGCAACATCGGCGTCTTCGTCTTCGCCCTCGCCTGGCTCGTAGGGGACGTATTTCTGCGGGATCGTGCTCAGGTCGGCAACAGTGTTGGCGATACTGTAGGTGCCGCGGAACGCCACAATGATCTCGCGGGCGCTGTCATCGACGGCAATGTAACCGCAACTGTCGCGCATCAGGACGCCCGTGTTCCATGTCGCGACGAGCCGGAGCTCCGGAAAGTCTGCGCATCGTGAAGCGCAAGAGAACGGCTGCGAAATGCCCGAGCCTGTCATGCCCACACAATACGTGACATCGACCATCCGTGCGTAGCGCTCCAGTGACAAGAAGACGGGCACTGGCACTGCCAGCGCCGACGCAGGTGCCGACGGAGGGGCAGGTGGTCGCTCAGGCCCGGCTGCCGTGGCCGCCTCCTCTGGGACAACAGCAGTCGGTCGTGCCTCTGTCACTCCGCGAAAGTCACCACTGCGGCCACCACTGCCAGAGCGGTCAATGTCGTCATGGTCGCCAAGGACAGATTGGCCTGACTCTTCTCTTGCGAGTAGCGACGCGATATGGAGGGCGAAACCGCAAACCAGTGCGGCCCTCATGGCAGGCGACGATGTGTTGTCGCGCCCAGTTTGGTGGAGAAAGCGAATGACGTTGGCGTTAATCGGGCCCGCCCTGCTGCTATCGCTGCATTGCAGGTAGTTTTGCCCCAAAATTGTACCTCAATGTGAAGTCGACTTTTTGCTTTGAACCCGCCTTTTCCAGATTGACACGTCGTATGCGCCAGTAATGTGTTGGGGTCGGTTGCTCTTGGGAGAAGCAGTCCGGCGTAATTGATCGTTTTCGTGGCGCGAGGGGCAAGAGCGATGGTGGGCAAACGAGGCAGAATGGAAGCGAGGGAAGGTTCAAGATACTTCAGTAATGTTCCAAAACGCTCTTGTCTTTTCCCTCGAAGAATCGGCGATCGCGCCTGCCTTATTTCCAGCCCTGAGAATCAATTTTTGGTAAGGTGATATAATGGTCGCATGACCTACCAAAAACGGTCCCTGCTTTCATTACGCCGCTTTTACGCGGAGAACTTCTGCAGGTACGACGGACTCAGCCTTGGTGTGTTTTTGTGCGCGGCCTCCGATTGGTGGGATCAACCAATCAATGTTAGTCATTAGGATGTTGCACTTGACAGCGAATCGACTTACACAAAGTGTTGACCTTCAGACGACATCTTTCTACAAATTCTGATAATTAACGGTCAACAAAGCTACATGTACTTTCACTACGAGGATTGGTATTGCAATACCTTGATATAACATCACAAGCAAGCACTATTGACGTACGACCCGTACTAGAATAAAAGAGGACGTCTCATTCAGCCAAATGCAGCTTCGTTCATAGATAATTAGACAAGAAGGAAGTAGAAAATTAACATGTTCATATAGAATTCAACAAAAGAAAAGAATGAAACGCTAATGCGTCTGTTGGCTAGAAAGGATTCGGGCTGGCTTGGGGCCCATAAATAAGATTAAACGGCGGAAGAGAGAGAGAGATAAATTTCGCTGTGTTTTGTCGTAGTTTACAATCGTTTCATATGCACGCAAAGTTGGAAAAGAGCACGTGGCGCACAATGCACAAAAAACGTGTGGACGTCCCATGAAAGGGGAAGGCAGAGGGACGGGATATGATTTTGAGATTGTACAGAAGACCAAGAGAAAATAAATGTTCATTCATATACAGGAAGAAAAGTCGCTCTGTAGGAGGGGCGAAGATAAAAGGGGTAAGGTGGACAAGGGGACAGGCCGCAGGCCGTGGCGGTGGAAAGGGAAGCGCTGTTTATAAACAAATGGGCAAGTAGTCAAAAGGCTCGACTAAATGGGTTGTTTAGAAAAGCTGACCGCAACCCCAGTGCTGCTCGCAACCGCACGAGCCATTGTCCTTCCAGTCATCGTTGGAGTACGAGAAGAAGACAACCTGGCTGCCAAGAGCCGCCTTCAGCGAAGAAATGGCGCTGGCCTGGTCAGACTCAGAGCAAGTGGCAACACCGTTGGCAACGCACTGCGAGGGCCAGCCAGTCTCCATGACGTAACCGGGGAGACCGCAGATGTTCTTAACAATCTCGAGCTGACCAGCGACGAAGGCACCGGCCTGAGAGGGGACGGTCTCAGCGTTGAAGTAGGCGTGAGAGTTGCAGGCAACCACGTCGACGACGCTGCAGAGAACGCCAGAGAAGTTGGTGTCTTGCCAGGTGTTGACGGTATCGGTGGTGGTGACGGGGACGCTGCAACCAGCCTCGACGATGATCTCCTTGACCTCAACGATCAGCTCCTTCAGCTGCTCGGGAGTGCAGAAGCCCTGGTTGCCGGCCTCGTTACCAACGACGACAAGCTCGACAAGTTCCCACTTGCCCCAGGCCTTGATGGCAGCGATCTGGGAAGCGACATCAGGGTTGCCGTTGTCGCAGCCAACCTCGGAGATGAAGACACCAATGATGAGCTTCAGGCCGGTCGCATCGCATGCAGCACCGACGTTGGGGAGGGTGTCGCAGTCGGTGGAGTAAACACGGATGGTGGTGAAGCCCTTGGCCTTGATCTCCTGGAGGTCACTCATGACCTGCGAAGACGACTTGCAGCTGCCGCTGCTGGTGTACGGGGTGTAAGTGATGGCCCACTGGTCGCCAGAGCCACCGAGACCGCTGTGCGTGGTGGGCGGCTTCGCGACCGCAGAGGTCGTGGACTTCGGCGGCGCAGGAGCGGCCGAAGTGGTCTTCACAGGGGCAGGAGCAGGAGCAGGGGTCGTAGTGGGAGCAGGAGCAGTGGTAGGGATGCTGAAGGGGCAGTAGACAACGACGTCAGTCTCGGTAACAGTCGTGACAACGGCCGGGCGAGTGTAGGTGCCAGGGCAGAAGGTGGTGACGACAGGAATGACCACAACGGTCTCGGTGGCGCAGACAGTGGTGACGGGACCGATGGTGTAGGTACCAGCCGAGGGGCAGACGTAGGTGGTCTCCTGGATGATGCTGGTCACAATGCCGTTGGGGAGCGTAGAGGTCGTAGCGACCGGGCAGACAACGGTGGTCTCCGTCTCGACAACAGTCGTCACACCACCGAGGGTGTGGGTGCCGGCGGGGACCGAGGTCGTCTCGGCGCCGCAAACGGTAGTAGTCTCGGTAACCACGACGGTGGTGGCCGGGAAGGTGTAGGTGCCAGGAGTCGGGCACGTCTGGACGACGATGGTTGGGACGGTGCAGGGCGTCTCGGTCGTCACGGTGGTCTCGAGGTGGACGGTCGTCGTGGGCTTCGTGACTGTCGTCTCGGGTTTGGTGACGGTCGTCGTGACGGCATGCGTCTTGGTGACTTTCGTGGTCGTGGTATCACTGCACGCGGGCGTCGGGTGCCAGGCTGTTGACTACAGTCAGTATCCATCCATCCCGTGACGACTTACACGGTTGAGATATATTCATAAAATATCAAAGCCGATGAACGTCCTCTATGTGTCTCTCAACGCCAAGACTTTTTCAAGATTGGGCCTGTGGATTTCGGGAGCTGCGCAAAACGTACTCATCTCGCCGTAGATCGTGCTGACGATGGTCGTGCAGACCTCGCCCTCGGCGTGACCGCGCTTCTGGAACAGGTCGTGGGCGGCCGCGTGGCGGTGGTGAACCCGGTTGGCGCTGACGCCGCCGGCGAGGGCAGCAGCTGCTGCCAGAATTGAAACCTTCATGTTGAATTATGCAAAAGAAGTGAAATTACCGAAACGGTCGTTTGGCGTGTATGTATTGATCGTGAGAAATGGATGCAAAAAAAAAGAGCGCCCGCTGAAAGAGTGAAGCGGTTTGTTGAGCAGAAAACAAGTATAACGAGTGACAGAAAGCAAAGGGGGCTTTCGAAGACTTGACTACCACATCCGGTCGATGATAGGAGAGGAGGAGGGAGGAAGGGTGAGGGAGAAGAAAAAAGAAAGGGAAGGAGGAAAGAAGAAAAGGGAAAAGAGGAGAAAAGGGAAAAGAGGAGAAAAGGGAGGGAAGGCAGAAGAGATTCAGAGGGTGGGCGGGCGCCAATACTATTAAACCATTTTAGAACAACTCACCCACACCTCTTGACCCTCTCTCACCCACGATGAGTGCATCTTATTATGGGGCGGTCGAGGACCAGGGTGGAGAGGAGAGAGGATAGGGAATGCAGAGGCCGTGAGAGGCATGTCTGGTTGCGCGGAGAGTGCGACCTCGCGATGATCCCACGCAATGGCCGAGTGGACGACGAAGTAAGTACCGGAGTGTCTGGACGCATCCAGAAGCCTTTCCCTTGACAGGAAGTAAATCTTAGACATGAGGAGGAATGGGGGATGGCAGCGCCATCGAGGCCATCGGGAGCCCATGAGAGCCAGCCAGGTAAGGACGTGGTCAGGATCTAAGAAAAAGGAAAAACTAAACAAACCCCCAGCACAACATCCACACACCACACGCTGACGCAGAGGATGAGAGGTCGCTGAAAGCCCACAACACCCACAATGTTCCACCGAAAACAGTTGTGCCAGCCAAGGACTCGGCGCGGTCGTGCTGGACGTGATTGCAATGGATTGTCCAATGTCGGCCCTCACGGCCTGTGGGTTCCTGGATTCTTGTTTTCTTTTATTTTCTGGCTGCATGGCGCACGTTCTTGTGGGGCGGCCCTTGCTCGCGTTGGCAGCTCAAGCTGCGCACTAACGGTGACATGGTGGTGTGGACAAGGGGATGGACCCCGGTGGCGTTTGACCGACATTGGGAAAAGCTACTTCTGCGCAGGCAGCCAGTTGGGCGGCAAGTTGAGTACTGTTTGCGTTGTGCAGGTTCGTGTGGTGGGTGCACGGTTTGTACGGAGGCTGTCGGCATTCGAGAAAAATATACATGAATGAAGCCAAAAGACCGCCCGTGACCGTCTACTGGCGATGCTCATTTCCCACGGCGCACGCTCTTGCCACTGGCGCTGCCGACCACCCGGCACAGGAAGGTGCGACGATGCTTTGCCAGAGCAGAAGTCGCAGGCGCGAATGCTCTTGCTAACACAAGTCAAGCACTTGCTTTTACGCCTCAACTGGAAGACCTGGAAAGAGCATCCCAGTGCGTCCCGTGGCTGTGTCCGAGCAAAGAAACTACACGCGGGTCTGCCAAGATAGGAGGTGGTGGGGCGTGTGGCCCTGCAAAGCCCAAAATGGATACAGAAGGAGCTGCGAGGCACAGTGCGTTCGGTCATTTGAACTCTTGCCCTTTCTGCTGACGAGACCGATCTTGGGCCATAGGCAACCCCGTACCTTCCCGTATAAGCGCTTTCGATTTAAAGGGGGACGTGGCCGCTGCCCGCCAGACGCACCTGCCGATTCATGAATCTCTTCGAAGTAATTCGTAATGCATGTCACGTCTGTCAACTCAACGCCGCCTATTTTGCACTATCGACAGCGTCGGGAGCTTGCTTCTGGTTCCTGGTGGCTCTCGGTCGCCCGTCAGTGGCCACGACTGGGAAATTAGCTAAGCGACATTAGCTCCGCGCTACCTGCCCATCTCTCCCACCCTTGATGCAGATGTGCAGGCAGGACCCCGGTCACTGGTGGGCTGCTCATCTTAATTTCGCAGAAGTCAGCCAAATCCTGGGTGGTTACCCCTGGAAAACTGGGTCCCCGTCTTTCCCGTCCTTTCCTCGTTCGGCTTCTGCTGGAACTTACTTTCCTTTTGTGACTCGACCAAACCACTTCGCAAACCACCATAAACTGAAAACAATCACGGAACAACAAACAAAAGTCGAGAAACGTACAAAGCCACAAGCAAATGTTAGTACTTCTGTACCTGGAGTGCCGGTAAGGAAGCCTTGGAACACAAAAGCTGGAGCTCGCACAAGTATCCTCTACAACCTACGTGGTCAGGCTCCTCATCCACTTTCGAGTCATACGGTCTGTGTATCCAGCCGTCATGGCGCTCCCCGCAGAGCGTGGCGGTTCCTTTGGTGGATCTCTCTGTGCATGTGCACATATAGCTTGCTTGAAAGGGCCTGCCGTCCGCCAACGACGAAGCGCACACCCTTTGTCAATACAGCCGGAGCAACTGCTATTTCTTTCATATATTTTTTTGTGCTGTTGTTAATCTCCCCTGTTGGCGAATCAAACCTTGCGAAATGGACGCAGTCCCGATCGATGCCTTCCTTTAAATGGGACGCCGAGACTGGAAACCAGCGCCGTCAGTTGAGAGCATCTGGAGCGTTGCGACAAGCGGGAACCAAGATGTAAAAAATGAGCCAAGCAACCACGATAACGAAAGAATGCCGAGAGATGTACGGAGTAAAGCGTCATCCTTCAGGAAGCTTGCGGGTAGGGTTCCGTGATCACTCTGCTCCTCTTTCGGTCCAGACACAGTCTGTGAAACATGCAGTATCCCTTACATTGGACATACGGGGTACATAGCCGTGAGGCAAGTCGCGTTTGTGGTGGACAGATGCGGATCAGACTCCGTAACTATGGCCGTTACGATGGGAGGAAGGGTGAGAGGACCAGAGTGTGAGTAGAAAGGAAAGAGAATTCATGGAAAATTGAGTGCAAGCGAGAAAAGGATGGGGCGCATATCAAAACAAAACGGGTACCAAAGAAAGGGCCTGCAGAGCAATACAACATGGTTGAACCGTCGATCCGGCCTCGAACAATCGATCTTCGGAGAGAAATGATCAACAAAACACAGCAAACAAAACAATGGCAACGACGACCGGAACGTAGTGATCGTACACATACAGGTTACTACACAGTACATAAGGCTCATGTCCGTCCACATACACATTCGTATCTTACGACTGCTACGAATGGCGGCCATTGACTGAACGTACAGGACTGCAATGCCGAGCCAGTTTGTTGTGATGAAGAACGCGTTGCGATCGCCCCCAGGCTTGGCTGCGGAATGTGTCTCCAGGGCTTTTCCATCACTCAGCGTGTCATGACTCTGCGACGTATGTGCACTAACATAGTTGCCTTGCGCTGGGAATCCAGGACTATGCTTACCTTAAAGCAGCCCCAATGTGCTGCGGAATGGTTTGTTTACTTCTCCGGAATGCACCTCCGTACGTCGACCAAGCGCCGTTCTTTGCATCTCTCCATCTTCCTCACTCTCTCTCGGCCCCTGATCTTTAATAACCCGTTAAATAGAGTGCCATAGCAGGCAGGAGTCGGGGTCTTGTGTCCACTAGCTTGAATAGACCTAAAATAAGGCACGTCCGTTCTCATTAATATCCCAAATGTAACTTATCTTATTGCGAATTAATAGGGGGCTCTGGGGGGCTGCGGGATCGTGAAATTGTCGAAGAAACGTCTGCCGAATAGGACCACCTGAAACACCGGTGCCATTTTTATTTATTCTTTTTTTGCTGTATTTTTTCATTTTTGGAAAGCACAAAAAGTCTTTCTCTCCACAGCATTCCTCCACTTTGAGCGCGTGGCTCGCGAGCTGTGTTTGCATAAAATGCGCCGCGGAAACCTCCTGCAGTGTTTTTTGCGGGTCCTAGACGGGCACCAGCCAGAAGGCTAACGCACCGAAGCTGTCATCCCAGGGAAGAACGCAAAAGTCGCGTTTTTGCTGAAGGGAGGAAGCGCAGGGGACGCTAATGTCGCGTGCTCTTGCGTCTGGTAACTATCCACAAACAAAAATTCTCCTTCCCGTCGGAAGGCACGCGAATAAATCGTACAAGAGTGTTGCAATGTTCGACTTTTCCTTGTCAGGTTTGTCACTGAGTCGAAATAGCTCTCCCTGCGTTCCTTTTCCTTTTCTGTGTCTACACATATGTGTGCCATATGCCAATGATTCCTGCTTGATGGAGCCTGACGACCTCGTATTGGCTGCCAATTTCACTTACGCACAAATCAGAAAGGGATGCAAAGCAAATCTCGTAATGACTACGGAGTAATTACGACGTATGGGGTTCTCATCCAGCATTCGCCGACACTCTTTTTGGAGGAGGACCGTATTAGCAGAGCCCTTCCCGTTGTTCCTCGACTTTCCTGCGGAACTGTCCACTCGAGATGCACCTTTTCATTCTTCGGCCAACCCCTTTTTCCGTCTTTGGTCCACGTCCAGCGTCGCAGCGAATCAGTCCATGTAAACACGGGCCTCCGCCTTTTGTCCCCTGTCGTCCACACCGTATTTTTACGGTGTCCAAGGGCACCTGTTGCGGCAATATGTTTGTAATAGAGACCGTGACATAGCATGACTCGGTCGCCACGCGGAAAGGAGCTGGTGCAACTCTGATCTAAAGCGACGATGCTTCGGCGGTTGCAACATGGCTGGGAATGCGGCGGCCTGACTTGACTGGCTGGCTCTTTCGAGAGCAAATTCCGGAAAAGCTCGTTACAGGTGGCACTGCTGTATGGAATTGCTGTTTTCCGCCTCTTATTTTCGAAATCTCTGTCGCTTAATTTTCCCAAGCCCACCTTCCCCGGTCCAGGGGATAGGATCGCGAACGAGGTTGCTCCTCTTTTTCAATGTCGATCGAATCCGAAAGAGAACAGCGCCGACATGAAATTAATGCTCTCGTAGCGTTGGTGGGAACGCGCAAATTACGGGGCTCTCGACTTTTTGCAAAAAAGGTGCGTCCACTGCTCGATATTGGAGTGAAAGGGTCAGAAGACGAACCCTTGCATATCTATCCAGATCTACTCAGTAGCCCAGCTGTTATGCCCATCGCTTTGGCAATCTCGAGCCTTGTCATCACTTTTGCTTGCAGCCTGCTTGGATCGTCCCATCTCCTATCCACACTCGTTCTGGACAGTCGGACGATCTGTTCTGGGTCCTTGGCAATTTCCGCACGTTGGAAAAAGCCAAGACATGTAGAAAGAGCAAAGAGGAAAAAATGGTAAAGCTGGCTGAAGGGTATTGCATCTGGCGACGGAACGATGATGTGGAATAAATTCAAGCATGAAATCCAAGGGTATTTATACGTTGTTTGATTTTTTGGGATCAAAAATACATGACGCATTGTAAAGGTCCTGGTAGACCACTGTGAGCAAAGCTCTTGTCGGACACGACCGAACAAAATGAGACAGAAATGTTTTATGTCTTGTTGTAGATGAGTAAATATAACATATGAAACCCACTCCAAAAATCACTTGAAAATCACAAAACAAACAAAAGCATGCCAAAACATAACAAAACACGCTCGAAGATATAAAAGATAAAACATAAGATTATAAAATAGAATGCACAAGTAAATAATATATAGAAACATAGAAAGGTGTGTCGACGCCGCAAAACCAAACACGAATACACCACAACCCAACAAAATTAATAGAAGTATGTCCAAAAAGGTATTAAAAATCCACACAGG